CCCAATCTCAAACTAAGCTCTGGGAAATTTTCTTCTAATATTTTGTTAATATCGTTCCCTCTCTTTTCTCTGCCTTCCATTTCTGGAATTCCTATTAATCTATTTGGGGCTTTTCAGATTTATAATCTCTTATCTCATATTTTGCTGACTTTGTTTTTACTTGATGTTCTTGGAGTTTTATTTTTCAACAATCACTTATAATTTATAAAAGTAATTTCTTGTTTTGCTTATTTCTTTTTTCGTGAAATCCTGCTTTTGTTTTATGGATGTAACACTTTCTCAAATATGAATACCACTACTAATAAAATAGAATTTTTTGAAGTTTTCTTCTGTTTCCTAACTTACCTCTATTTCCTCTTGGGTCAATATATATCTTTATATATTTCATATATGTTTATATTTATATATATATAACATATATTTGTTTGTCTTGGTTTTTTCCTTTTCTTTGCTAACTTCGATACCATTTTTTTTTCTTACTACTGCTTTTTCTTTAGTGTTTGGTATCTTGAACATCCATTCATATTTAAGAATGAAAGTCTGGGTATATTCTAGATATTTTGTAGGAGTTTCCACTACACTAGTTTCAGATATGCCCCTTCCCTGAGTGGGAAGAATGACCATAAATTATATGGTAATCAGCAAGAGTATGGGCTGGGAGGATTTTAAATGTTGAGTGGGCATTCGCACTGCCAGAATGAGAACAGTAGTTACTAGAAATCTCAGTTTTCCCAGGTTTTCTTCAGAGCACTGCTTGCCAACCTCTTTTGTACCATTAAATATTTCAAATTTCTTTTTTCTATTTTTTTTTTTTTTTTTTTTTTTTTTTTTGAGACGGAGTCTTGCTCTGTCGCCCAGGCTGGAGTGCAGTGACGAGATCTTGGCTCACTGCAAGCTCCGCCTCCCGGGATCACGCCATTCTCCTGCCTCAGCCTCCCGAGTAGCTGGGACTACAGGCGCCCGCCACCTCGCCCGGCTAATTTTTTGTATTTTTAGTAGAAGCGGGGACCGGGTTTCACCATGTTAGCCAGGATGGTCTCGAAAAAGTGATTTTTCACAGGGGCACTTTGCTGCCAGCCAGAGACTGCTCCCAGCAGCTCTGGCAACTCCAGGCCTCCTGGCAGCTCCATACACAGAGGTAGGGAAGGACATACCCCTTGCACCGCATAGACCAACCCCGGTCCATGGCTTCCATGTCCTGCACCCTACATCTGCCTACTTGGTTCTGGATGATCTTCCATTCCATTTTCCACATGTCCATGAGTCCTATCTCCTCCATTCTCTCTTCCATTTCTCTGTGTTCTGTCGTCCAGAAATGCGTTAAACACTCTTCTGCTGATTGCCTCTGCCTCCCTTTCTCCTGGTTGTTATGAATTTCTAGCCTAACTACTTTACTGTGACTTCAACGGGATTAGAGATGGAGGATGAGTAAATAAACATGCTTGACCTGCCATTTTGAAATCTTGGACCCAAATGCACTGTTTTCCAGGCAACCAGAATAACTCTTCTATTCTGCTTTCTTCATGTTTTGTTTACTTTTAAGAAAGACATTACCCTTTAAAGATTTAAATCATGAAATTATCTTTAATTTCTCCTTAACCTTGATCCCCACATCTACTCAGTCTTTGAACCCTCTTATACCCTGCAAAGCTTTTTGAAATCTGTTTCCCATTTAATATTCTCATTGCCCATGTGGAAAGTGCAGACTGATGAGAGGTTAATTAAGAACTTACTAGTTCTAATCCTCATAGACCCACCTGCACTATTATGACAGCTCCCAAAGTTCTTCCTGCCTGTAATCTCCCCAATTCATCCCACTCACAGTCTTTTCCTATTAGTTCCCAAAAGTACAGTTCTTATCATTCACCATATGTGTATCAATTACCAGAATATGAATCCCTGGAGGTGCTTATGAGAATGCCAGGGAAGGGTTTTTTTTTTTAAGATTCAAGCTTCTTAGCTTGGCGTTAAAGCCCCTTCAAGTCCAGGCCTCATTCTCCATTTCTGGCCATACCTCCCACTTGTCCTCCTTAAATACTTTGGGTTCTAGCCAAGTTAAACTACTTTCTAGGCCTTTAATTTGTTGTGCAATTTCCTACCCCTATGTCCTTGGTTTTCCTATTTAAAAAGCATGTTCCCCTCATAGAGAGAAGGTGTTGTCAAAGTTGCCCCCATCTTTCAAGGACCAACTTAAATGCCTGCTCATTGCTGATCTTCCCAGCTGGAATTAATTCTTTTTCTCCTGTTGTGTCTTAATATTTGGTTTACACTTACATCTCTTATAATTCTAATAATTCTACCTATATTCTGATTTATGTAATAGTCATTCATGTACACATATTTTCTCCAATATAAACTATATGTATCTAATGTAGACTGCAAATGACTTGAGGGCAGAAGTTGTGATTGTTAATTTTATTTTCTTATAACACTCAGTACAGTGCCTTACAAGTAGTTGATGCTCAATAGATGTACTTTGAGTGGAGGTAGATAAACCATCTGGTAAGGAATGACCATTGCAACACTCAATAACTCTTCATTGTTTAAATGTATTAACCTAACTTTTAAAGTTCTTCATATTATAGCCCCAATTTACCTTCCCACTGCCTCCTACAGAAATCTTAATTCATGCTAAAACATTCTACTGACAGACTGCCAAAGTGGTCCCCATACTGGTCCCCATCACCTCTACCTGACCCACATTTATGATTTTCATGAATCAATTCAAAGTGCTTCTCCATAAAGCCCCTGAATGAATTGTAGCCATTCAACCTGCAATGCTCTTTCCATCTTCTGATCACATTGGTAATGTTCATATCAACTGCAATTTTTTTGCAATTTTTCTTATCACTTAAATGTAATTACTATTAAATACCTTCCCTAGCTAAGTCATGTTTCTTTTTATTTGCCACAGTAGTTTGTTCATAGCAGGACTCAGAAAATTTTTGATTTGATGATTTTATCATTCATTCAAATTAGCAGTAATATCATTCCAATGTATTCAACAATATTAATTACATAATTTTAAAATATGCTTTAGTATTTTTAACTTTAATTAACATGAACTATATTAATGAATAATAATACATGAATATATATGCTAATAATTATTTAAAGGATTTTAAAATAAATCTTTTAAATAGGTTAAATTATATGTCATCATGCTTATGTTATATATATATATGCTGTGCATATATACCTTCAGTTATGTATAGGTTAGCAAGGTAAAGAGGTAGCATAAATAGGGGAGCACTATGACTTTGATGACAGACAGAACTAGAGTATGTCACACAGGTCTTCTGCTAATTTGCTGTGTGATCTTAAGCAAACCACTTCACCTCTCTAAACTTTAGTTTTCTGAAGGAAAGCTTTCAAATAGGGGCACTCATTCTTACCTCACAGCGTTGTTGGAAGGACAGAAAGAATACATAGCATAGTATCCAGCACAGAGTCAATACTGTCAATACTCAGTCCATCACTTCTTAAAAGATAGGGCAGTTCAAGGGTAGAAAACCCAGGGACCGTGCATGTTTAATTCAACTACTGCCCCAGCAAAACCAAGAGCATCCACTACCTATGGCCCCTCTGGGCAGTAGGGACCACTGCTTCCCAGTGGAAATCCTCTTCTCCTCTCCTATTTTCCCCTGCACTCCCAATCAGGAGAGCTTCCATCAGCCAATTACAGACCCAAAATCGAATCCACAGTCAGATAATGTAACTAACTTTTTCCTTTGGAGGGATTTTAAAAAAGTGATAGAGGCTGAAGGAAAAATATAGCTCTGCTGCTGCCCCAGACAATGTTCTCAGGCAAAGAAATTGACTCACAGCTGGACAACTTCGAGAAAGAAAATTTTCCACAAAACAGCAACGATGCCACAAAATAAAAGAAAAATGAGAAAAACCTATGACCTGCAGTTCCGTAACTACATCTCTGCTGCCTAACATTTCTGTGAACCTAATGACTCATTTTACTGTCGGATCTCATGTTTTAATCACTTCATGAAGGAGCACATGGAGGGCGGAGCTTGGCCTGAATGGATGACTTCCCCAATAGCTTCACCAGAGCATAACCCGCATCCTCAAGCCTTTCTCTGCCTCAGCCCCTCCACTGCAAAAACATGGGCTTGTCCACAGAGAAGGAATGGCCCTGCGTTGTGTTGGATCCTCACATCCAGCGCACGCTGCATTTCATCAGTGGCAATGCTGAAGTCGTATTCAGGTAGGCTGAGAAGAAGAAGAAAAAAAAAAGCAGGCAAAAATGATCCCAAAACATCATGCCCGATAAATGGAGGAGATAATAAGAGAGCGCCTGGTGGGCACACAAGCACAATTAGACAGCGCAGGCCAGGTGGAAAGGCTCCAGCTGGAAAAGGTCAGGGGTTGGGAGCCCTCAATTTATTGAGCACAGGGTGTGTGAAAGCAAAGGGGGCACCCAAAAGAAGGGAATCGGTGCACAGCGTGACAGACAACAGGGACATCAAGGATGTCTCCAGGGAGACCAAGGAGGGATTTCAGGGAAAAGCAGGCCTGGCCCAGGGGTGACCACATACTCAGGGTGCCAGGAGAGGGCTGGCAGAGTGGGGAATGAGTCCTGGCCCCAGAAGCCCCAAATGAAGCCAAAGTGAGGCAAAGTCTGGAGCACAACGTGGATGAGGTGACAAGAGGGGCCGCCATTGACCAAGGAAAGAATCTGAAATATTAATGTGGTCAGAGAGGCAGATAACTTTTATAAGAGCATTCCAGAATGAGCAGATGAGAAAGGCAGTTCAAGCAAGGAGGGAGATATCTGTTGATTTTCATAGGCAATTGTAGGCTTAAAAGGCAATCTGGGAGATTTTTAGCCTTAAATAGATAAGCAGTATACTATTTTCTAGTAGACCACCAAATATAACCTGGTGTCTGGAATACAATTTAATAGGCAATTCCCAGAATAAATTATACCGATGTAGCTATGTATTTTCAGCCTTGTGAAAGGGTGCATGTGTATTTTCCTCTCCCAGAAGTACATCCAAAGTTTTACTAATTCACAGCCTCCTGCTTCTCCCCACACTGCCCAGTGTCAGATGACATTTCTTGACAGTCCCTAACAAGGACCCCGAAGTCCCAGCACTCGGGATCCCTCCCGCTGCCCCCCACCCCTGCAAGAACTACCTTCCCACAGACAGGGTTCTCTTGGGTATGGCTCTCATCCTGGGGGAGCTGAGGGTACACGGCTAGTTTCCTTAGCACCTAATGGAAACTAAACCAGTCCCAAGGACGAGCACAAGTAGATAGGAATCACCTGTGCAGTCCACACACACTTGACACAGTGAACACAAAATACACCTCCCAATTTCATAGCCTTCATTTAGTTCACACTACTATATACCTCAATTCCACTGGAAGAAAACATATTAATAAAAAACTTCCTACTTCAAAACCCGGCAAATTACTTTGATGCTACTTCAAACTCTGTGTTTTCAGTTCTCCCACATTTTTGCCTTGATCCCTGGATAAGAAACCAATATATCAAAGTGAATACCTTGTTTGTGTTTATCATTGTTATCTTTATGAGAAGGCATTAACCCTTGCCCTTTGAGATAACGGAATCAGTCGACCTCAGATCAAACAAACTGAACTAAGAACGTCTGAGACACGGGAAGTTTGTCCCTAGGATGTTGGTATGCAGTGGCCCTATCCAGCTTTAGAAAACGAACCCCCACCCCCCGTCCCAAGGCATTCAGAAATAATTTTATTTGCTCTTATTCATCAGCAAAGGAAAAGTAGCGAACCCCAGAGCCAAAGACTATTCATCCCACCCTGTGATAACCCTGACCCTAGTAAAGCCAACATCTGTCTCGTGTTTGAGGTGGCTGACAGCCAACTGGGGATCAGAAAACAACAATTTCCCTGGTCAGATGTAAGCCTTGCCCAGCATGTTGACTTTATAAACCACCCTGTAAGCTCAGTCAATTTAATTGGTAGATAGGGTTGTCTTTCCTTGGCTCATTTCCCACCAATTAATATTACCGGCATGAGTACCCATATGATCAGACATACACTAACAAGACTCTGTCTAGACAGGCAGAAAAGGTTTTTTCTTTGTATTTTTTCCAGAATTAGGCATTAATGTGCTACTCGTGAATGGAACAAATGTTTACATAAATCCGTACTGGGAAAAGAAATTCTTCTCTCAAACACTTCCAGGGGAGACATCATTGGCAGGATTAGTTGCATATTGGAGCTACCATATTAGTTCATTCCCCCTGTACTTCAAAGATGTAGGAGCCAACAAGAGGGAGGGCACCACAGTAAGAAATGTGAGTAGCAAGATTATAAATCAGTACTTTTGACAGGGTGATTCCAGACAGCTTTGCTTTAACCAACATTCGACCTTACTTTATAGTGGTGAGGAGGTATTGAACATAGTTAAGTTTTAAAAATGACCCTGGCCTTCCCTACAATATGGTATGAAAAACTATAAAAGGCACTTTTAAACGTTACCTGGAAAATCTTAAGTGAGGTATATAGTGCAGAAATATCTGTTATCCAAAATCTAAGATTTTATTGTTTTCAAAAAAGGAATTTTTAAAAGCACCCCCTCCAAGGCAAACAAAAAATGTCAAGCCCTAAGACGTAAATAAAACTGCAAATGACCTTTTCCCCAACTACCCAACTCATAACTTTCCCCTATCCCTTTTTAGTGTTTGCTTATACCAAACAAATTATGAAACTAAATCTGCTAGGGAAGGAAGGCTAAGTTCATAAGGTTTTGGGTAAGTAACTCCAACAACCATCATTAATTATTAACATTATGGGTTCCTCCATTCTCACAAGTGATCAAACCATGTCAACACTTGGCACATTTTCAAAATTCTGCTAAGAAATAGCAGAGGACACAGAAGTATTATATAAAATGGTCCCTGCCCTCAAGGAGTTCATAATCAGATTATCCATACCAGTTTAATTCTTAAGATGACTGTTGTAAGAAACTGAAACCCAACAGATAACATCATGATAGTTTTCCTGTTGAAAAGGAAGATTTTCATCAGTTGAATGGACAGTGACATTTCACTTTTAGAGAGAGGAAATTTGGCCTTCTACACATGAGGTTCCATGAGGGCTGCCATCATTGTATCCATTTCCTCCCAAATAAAGACATGTGACCCAAACTGGGTCACACAAAGTCCTGCCCGTCGATGTCTTTGATACGGAGCTAACGAAGAGGCTGCTGCTTCTCTGGAAAGCGGTGGGAGGCACTGACACTGGAGCTTCCTGTGGCTGCTGTTTGCTGCTCATGGGCCCCGCTGAGAGGATAGGGCCAATACGCAGAGAGAAGCAGAGAGAAGAGGGACGGCACAGCACTGTACACTCTGCTTCCAGAAACCTGAGGTTAACCATACCCTGCCCTTCCCACAGTTTGGTTATGTTTGCCAGCAGGTTCCATCCCTGGCAAGTTCGTTGGAGTTGGACTTCTATCCCTTACAACCAAAACGTGTCTTGACATCAATTGTTCTCCATCTTCAATGTACCTAACAAAAGAAATGGAGTCTTAGACTTCAGCAGGAATTACATGATAGATATGACATACACGAATTTTGACTCTAAAGGGGCTCAACCATTAAACTTGCTACAAAGTGTGGATGTGGAACCTATTCTTGGTCTTCAGATTATCTCAGATGACTGTCTTGAATAACTTTACATGCAGAACAAGGCCTAGACTGATGCATAATTCTTAAACTATTTGTTCTACACATCTTGGACCTGTTGAAAAGGTCCAAATATGACCCACACCACTGAGCACTGAAACTACCTATTCCTGCCTTCTGATTCTAAGTGCCCTCCATTCACCGTCATCTGCTGCCTCTTCACCTCCACAGGCACAAATACTAGGACAGCACTGACATATCCGGTGTGATTATTCACAAACACATCTTTGCATCACCTGCAAGTTCTCTGCCTTCTACTGAAGCCTCTGTGGAATCCACTTCTCCCTCCTGGCCATGGGGCCACCACCTTAGCTGAATCACCTGCCCTTCCTTCTCCCATCCCTCTCAACTTAGAAAACCCCTGGTGTCCCCTTGAGGACCACATTTTGAGAACCACTAAACAAGAGGAGTTTCTACGATTCCCGCCAACACTATCATCTCTGCATAATGGCACAAACTTTTCTTTCTCTGAGTGTTCTTTTTTGGCAATTAAAGGGGCAGATTTTAGAAGTTTCTCTCCTTTCTATCCTACAGTTATAAAAAACGAAAAATGGGCATTACATGAACCCAACCAAGAATACTGTTTTTTCAGCTGCTTTTCCTTAACCTTGAGATTCCTGAATTGAAATGGGGGAGGGAGAATAATTAGGTATGATGTTTGGGAAATTGATTCCTAATAGTTTGTGAGGTTTAGAGTATTCGTCATTTCACCCACTATTCAAGTGTTTCTTCATGGTTTGCTCCACAAAGAAAAAGGTCTCTTGGGAGTCAAATCTGTTTGAAATTATTCAGCTCAAAGACTGACACTGTGAAATTAGAGAGAAAGAGGTCAAATAACCTTATCGGTGGATATTCAGAGTAAAGTATGGTCTAGCATCATGTAGACATTCTCAGATGGCCACAGACACTGAAGAGACAAAAAGAATTTTCCAAAAAAGAAGAATTTTTCTTACAGTAAAGAGATCCAAATCCCACCCACATAATTTTTTTGTCGTCATTTTTTCGCCCTTGACCCTCCGCTGCTAACACTGCTTCTAAATTATTGCAGACACAGTGGAATTTGGAATCTCCATTAATATTTACAAAGCTTGCCACCCAGGCTATGACCCACCCTGCTGTTTCAGAATGATAAATTCATCTGCCTCCACTGAGACCTGAGAAATCTTATTTCACTGGGGAATAAGCATAATGCAAAAAAAAAAAATGTATTCCATAAAACTTTGGAATGACTAGAATATCATTTTCTCCAAAAGTCTTACTTCCTTCATAGCCATTAATGTCACTAAAGTACAAGTAGGCACAAGACCAAATAGAAACAGGTAACCATTTCAGAAATGTGCTGTGACACACGAGGCCCCATCTAAATAAGGAATGCACTCTGAAGCAGCTAGATGCAGAAATGCATTTCCTCCCGGTAGCTCTCCATTCCAACTATGAGTTTGTTTTGTCTTTCACTGAGAAAAAAAAAAAAAAAAAATGAGTTGACAACATTTGTTGTTTTAATGATTTTGTTTAAAAATAAACAAACTGGAATCCTTCTTCGTTTTAAGGACCAAAGTCAGCTAGGAAGTTAGACCACATGATTTCCAAGGTCTTGTCCTTGGAAAATTCAAAATAGATCTAAAATTCAAAATAGCATACAATGAAGTGACCGATCTTGATACGGTATAGATGAGTGCAGCAGGAATTCAAAAGAGGGGAGCAAAGTGTCACACAGTGTCATCGCATGTGGTAGCTCACAGACATTTTGGTTTGTCCTTCTGGGAACATGAGACACTGGCATATTCGCTCTCCTTGAAGTTAGGTGTGGCCAGGTGGCCAATTCTGACCCAAATACCTTAAGCAAATGTGACAGTGACATATGGAGTGAAGGTGTCAGGGAGTAGAACCCCTCCAATCCTGTGGGATGGACATGCATTGCTATTTGTTCCTTTACATCCACTGAGATGTGGGAGTTGGAATTGCAATGTAACCTTGGTCCTCCTAGCTGAAAAGGATGGCTTTGTAGAGAAGGCGATACTTTGATCATATAGTGAAGAGAAGAGAGAAGAAAGTGGTTGAGAGATTCCAAAAATGAGATCTAGTCCAGAGATTCTCAACAACATAAAATCAAATAAATGAGAATATTCAGAAATGGGGCTCAGGCATCAGAATTTTCAAAAGGTTCTCAGGTGATTCTATAGTACATCCATATTCAATTATAAATTGTCTATTTACAATAAAATAAAAACATTAAAATAAAGGACTTTCAGGGCTGAGAACCACTGATTTCAATGATAGGGATGAGTGCAGAATAAAAGTAAACAGATAAGACATGAATAAGCACAAAGAGTTTTTGCAATTCCCACATCTTCAAAAGTCCCAGATAGAGTTTCCAGATAACTTCAGCAAAGATTTAAAAAGTTAAAATTTTGTACTACCAAAAAAATTATTTGACATAGAATGGTCAGTTAACGAATTACAACTGGCATTTCTCAGTGTTGATTTTTCAAAAAAAATTCTTCTTTCTCTTACAAAAAGAAAGGAATATTTGAAACCCCAGGCCAATTTTACCCCTAAATGATTTATCTGTTTGTCTCTAAGGTTCACATATCCATGCGTTATCCATTACACTAATAATACTGTTACAAATAATATTAATAGCTAATATTTATTATTTACTATGAGCAAAACATTATGCTAAGTAATTTGCAATAACCTCACTTAGTCCACACAACAAACCTTGCTGGATAATTTTTTTTTTTTAATCTCACTCTGTGGCCCAGGCTAAAGTGCAGTGGTGCAATCATAGCTCACTACAGCCTTGAACTCCTGGGCTCGAACAATACCCACTCCTCAGCCTCTGGAGCAGCTAGGACTACAGGCACACACTGCCATGCCCAGCTAAGTTTTTTAAAATTTTTGTAGAGATGAGGTCTCACTAGGTTGCCCAGCTGGTCTTTAACTCCTGGGTTAAAGCGATCCTCCTGCCTAGGCCACCCAAAAAGCTGGGATGACAGGTGTAAGCCACCACACCTAGCATTAGTTACTATTATTAACCACATTTTGCAGAGGAAGAAACTGAGCACAGAGACATGAAGTAAATTTACCAAGAATGTCATATCAAAGGAGTAGATTTGGGAAGGAACCCAGGTTTTTATGAGTCCAAAACCTACTATTTTGACTGTTAGATCTAAATGACTCATGAAAATTTATTTACACTTCATCATTTTACTAAATAATTATAAAGAATAAAGAAGCTGTTTTAATTTGAAACAGAGACTGTTTGATGGAAAAAACAAATCTACGTATCAAGTAATGTGGGTTCTTCATGGGAAATAAACATTATGTCCAAAGTATCACTGTTCTTATAAAAAGAATTTGCTGAGGAGGAAAATACAAGTTTCACCTGCCCTCAACCCCCACAGTGAAATAGCAATTTGAATTAGTTCACAATTAGCCCAATTCAGAGTCAGCTGTTATTCACACTTAGTGTAGCAGAAATTCATTTGTAGGCAGTGTTAACCAGTTCTTCTTCAATACAAGGTAATTTCAAATTGAAAAATATACAGAAAGGTAATATTTTGATATTTTGAATATTTGAAATTAAATGTAATTGGGAAATTCTTGATTCAAGTTGGTTAATCATTTTTGGGAAAAACTGTCAAATAGCGTTGATTTTAAAAGAACCTTGGATAGCACATATATCCAATATGTCCATAGAGTTGTGCATTTCTTGTGTGATAAATAAAGCTTATGATAAACCAGAACCTTGCCAATGGTCTGCTGTGCAGAACTCCACAGAGACATCCAAACTGATATGCCAATGAAGATCACACACCCTTTTCCAAGGAGTAAATAGGCATGATAGCAAACAACATAGGCTTACCAGATGAGTGAGAATATTTGCAAACAAATGAGTAGCAGTAATAATTTACTTCAAACTCTTCACAGGTCTGGCACCAAATTTTAATCAGTATGTGTATAACCAATAAAAGCCAAGGGATCTATGTAGTCCAATTTTAGAGTAATATTACATTCAGGAAAAGAAAGTCCAGAAACCAAAAATAACTTTAAAAGTCACTCAAATGATTTACTTGCATTTCTGAAAGACCCCTGATATGGTTTGGCTGGGTCCCCATCCAAATCTCATCTTGAATTCCTGTGTGATGGGAGGGACCTAGTGGGAGGTAATTTAATCACAGGGGCAGGTCTTTCCTGTGCTGTTCTCATGATAGTGAATAAGTCTCACAAGATTTGGTAGTTTTGAAAAGGGGAATTTCCCTGCAAAAACTCTCTTTTTTTGTCTGCTGCCACGTGAGACATGCCTTTCACCTTCCACCATGATTGTGAAGTCTCCCCAGCCATGTGAAACTGTAAGTCCAATAAACCTCTTTTTGTAAATTACCCAGACTCAGGTATGTCTTTATCAGCAGCATGAAAACAGACTAATAAAGTAAATTGGTACCACTAGAGTGGGGCACTGCTAAAAAGATACCCAAAAATGTGGAAGCAATTTTGGAACTGGGTAGCAGGTAGCAGTTACAACAGTTTGGAGGGCTCAGGAGAAGATAGGAAAATGTGGGAAAGTTTGGAACTCCTTAGAGACTTGTTGAATGGCTTTGACCAAAATGCTGATAATGATATGGACAATGAAATCCAGGCTGAGGTGGTCTCAGATAGACATGAGGAAATTGTTAGGAACTGGAGCAAAGGTGACGCTTGTTGTGTTTTAACAAAGAGACTAGCAGCGTTTTGCCCCTGTCCTAGAAATCTGTGGAAGTTTGAACTTGAGAGAGATGATTTAGGGTATCTGGCAGAAGAAATTTCTAAGCATCAAAGCA